TGAATGTTGAAATGTGTAAAAACTGAATAAAAATAAATTTAAAAAAAAGTGATTTAAATCACTGATTTTTATTTAAAAAATCAAGTTGATTTAAATTTAAAAAATCAACTGATTTAAATCAACCCAACCCTGCCACAACGCAAAGCTGAAAAGAGTTAGATCACACCAAGTCTGTGCCAGAATTGTTCAAGGCTCTGCTTTATTTAGAGGCATCTCATCAGAAGAACTTAAGACACACGAAGTCGTGCATGTGAATTAAAAAAAGGCAGATTTTTGTTACAGCAGAATGCCCAGTGGACATTATGTCACGAGTGCACAGTTTGGCAACACCGTACGCTGCTAATTTAATACAAGGTGAACTGGAAAAGTGCTTTTCAGAGTCACTTTATGACAACTGTGTTAGAGATGGTGATGAAATATTTCGGGTGACTGAAAAGGGAAAAGTGTATAAAGTGCTGAATGGTCAGAGTGATTGCAACATGAATGTGAAATACAAGATTTTGTGCAGGCATGTGATTGCTGTTAGATATTTAACTAAAAGTGAATTATTTAAGAAAGAAGATGTTCCTGATAAATATTCATTGCAGGTATATTTGGCAAGTACTGGGGAGGTGCCAGAAGGCAGTGTTAATGTTGTTCATGGAGAGAAAAGAAGAGAATGGGTAATGAGGAAAAATGAAAAGTTTAATATGATGAAGAAGCTTGCCCTGGAAATATGCGATGTTTCATCATCAGTTGGTAGTAAAGAGTTTTGGAGTCGTTTTGATGTCTTAAATCAACTTCTTGATTCATTGAAAATGGGTAGAGTTGTTGGACTGTATAATGTTGAGCAGGAGATATTAATTAATCCACAAAGCACGAACATTGAATCTTAAGATGTTGAGGGAGGTGGTGTAGTTGCTCTACAAAGTTCTGACACTGAGGTTGCTGGTGTTGAGGGAGGTGGTGATGATATTGTTGAAGTTGTAGAACCTGAGAGAGTTGGTGATGTTGTTGTAGAAAATTGTGACACTGATGTTGGTGATGTGCAAAGTTGTGAGGGAGTTGATGCTGATGTTCTAAATTGTGACACTGAGGTAGTTGTAGAGAATGGTGTACAAAAGCGTGATACTGATGTTGTAGAAGTTGGTTTACAATATAATTGTAATGCTGATGTTATAGAAGTTGAGATTGGTGGTGTGCACAATTGTGAGAGAGTTGGCGCTGATGTACAAAATGGTGACACTGAGGTTGTAGAAACCGGGGTTAGCGGTGTGCAAAATGGTGACACTGAGGTTGTAGAAGTCGGGGTTAGTGGTGTGCAAAATGGTGATACTGAGGTTGTAGAAGTCGGGGTTAGTGGTGTGCAAAATGGTGACACTGAGGTTGGTCCAGCAGCATTCACCTTACCAGTAAGAGTTAGGGCTAAAGGAAGACCGCGGCAAAATAAGAGGAACAGATCTGGCAAAAAGAAGTTGCAATCTGAAGAAGTCGATTATTTCTCGGTTGATGCTACTTATGTCTTAAACAAAATCATAGATGATGATGATATTGTTCAGAGAGTTCTAAAGAAAGACATTTTTATTTTAAAACACATGCTTCGCATTACAGAGAATGAAATGACAACTTTGTTAGCTGACTGCAAACGATGTTTTTGAAGATTATTTTGAACCAGAATGCTGGTCCTATTTTAAAGACCTTGTCCTTTCCAAAAGAAAACATTTGTGGCTTTGCCCAATTTGTAAAAGGAAAGACAGCAATTACAAACAAATTGTGTGTGACAGTTGTCACCGATGGTTTCATTTGAAATGTGTCGGGGTGAGAAGTTCTGGAATTAACATAAATGAAGACTGGTTTTGTCAACATTGTTGTGCTTCTAATTCTAATAAGCTCACAGTAATTGCTTTTCGAGAACAAGTTAAAAATACATGTATGTTTAGTTTAAAACAATGTTTATTGTTACTTTTTAAGTATGCCATTTTACTGTAAGTAGGCCTAGGCCCAAACATGTCTGTAGTTTGGAGTGGTTATTCATACAATTGTGCCTATTCGTACAGTATTGTACGCACAAACTAATGCTAAGCAATTGTACAAATAACTGCTACTAGTTATCAGTGCAATACTACACGCCCACAGGCCTATACTTTTCGGATGTTTCCGATTTTCTTCAAATTTTGTACATAGTTTCTACATACACTGGTCGTTCAAAAAGTTTTGCCTCCAAGTTCATAATTTCTTTATTACTGATGCTACATACAAAAGTTATACACCAAATGAAAGCTTAGGGTGTCTGCTACAGGACAACGCCTTTACTTTTCAACATAGTTGCCTTCTTTGTCGATGCAGATCCGCCAACGTTAAATAAGTTGTCTGATGCCGTCGGCGAAAAATTCATTTGGTTTTCCTCTGAACCAGCGACGCACATCTTCTTGAACTTCATCGTCGTCTGTATAACGTTTTCCTTTGAGGTACTCCTTCAACTAAGGAAAAAGATAAGTCTCTGCTGGACTGGTTTCAGCGAACTCCTTTGCCCATCTTCGAACAGTACTTACATCTACACATGCTTCACCATTCACCTCTGTGAATAGCGATGGGTGCAGCTCTCTCTGCAGTAAGGATCTCAATAACAGCTTTAAGCGCCCATTCATAGGTTTGCTGGATGCCATTTTCTCGGTGACAATGTACCCTAGCTTATATGATGTAAACAGCAATAGCATAAGGGTTTGACATTATAGCATAATTCTGTTTTTTGTGTTTGAGAGTATACATTATATTGAAAGTCAATTGTGTACAAATTTCATGAAGATACCTTGAATAGTTTATAAGTTATTGGAGAGGAGGCAAAAGTTTTTGAACGGCCCTCGTAGATGCCTAATTTAAGAACCGTGGGTGTGAATTTTCAGCTTTTTCTGACATATAGTAACAGTTGCTGCCCTTGCAAATTTGCATCTTCCTCAAAATGTGCATACTTCACTTGACAGAATGGGTTGCAGTTTCGTTTCTATTTTATCGGTTTTCATAACAAATGTGTCGTTGAAATCAGACATGGCTGCGCTTTTATTTTCTTGAAGAATATTTATGATATTTTCTTTTAATGTTCAAAAGTCATTCTGTTGCTTGTCGTTGTTGCCCTGGTGCATGGTCATGACTCATAGTATGTTCCGTGTCGCATACATGTTTTAACTGTTGGTGCAGTACCCTATGCCCCCACGGGACGCCGATTGGCGACGGTGTGACATAGCATGTACCACACCTGTATCATGGTCTGTGGGGATGAGTGTTGCGCGGCTGCGTGGGTCGGTGGGTGGAAAGTGTTTTTTTTTCTTTTTTTCTCCTTTTAGCTATTAATGTGTTGCATGCTATGTTCTGTACATATACATCTTCAAAGCATAGCTATCATCTGTGTCAATGGATGCTATAGTGTCCTCTCATGTCAAAAGGTTGATAAAGACACGCTTTTCCGTTTAGAGACATCAGCGTTCAAAGTTAATTTGGGGGTACCCTGAAGTTTTGCTGTTTTTGATGGATTCGCATTCCTTGGCCTTTTTTCAATATATACATGAAAACAGAATTTCAGAAATTCTTTTCCTGTTTTCTAAGTTGCTTATTTGGGACTTACCAAATGCACTGCAAGGTGTTACGTAATCTTTGAGTTTGAGGCCTGTTTTCCCAAAACGTGTGTTTTTAGAATTGTTGTGCATCGCCTGCTATAACTATTGCATTTTTTTAAACCTAAATCTTAAAAGCTACTCCCATCTTTCATTTATATTCATAGCATACTTAAACTATCTAGATCATGAGAAAATATCAAATTTCGATTTTCTCAAATCCTCAACCTTTTGTCGTGAGAGTCAATTGAACATTTTTTAACTTGTTGCCCTGTAGACTACCGTACAATTTTCTTTGCATCTTTCTGGCGGGGGG